GAATAAATATCATAAAAAATACTTGAAATATGAAATATCCAAAATTATCCGACATTTATGCCCAATTCCACTAACGTAGATTAACTTTAATTTCATCTTTTTCTAGTTCTAAGAAAAGATAGACATAGATATCTAGTTAAAAAAAGATGAAGAGCAAGTTAAATCGAGATTAAAATAAATCTACGTTGATGGAATCGGACATTAGAGATTAAAAAGTATATAGATTCTTCCTGTCGTTTTATATCCAATGTTATTTTCAGACAATTTTAATTTTGACGTCTTAAATCTTTTATGATGTTCAAGGACACTTAGACAATCATCTCTTTTTAACTTAGCAAGCAATAGAAATATTACAAAAATCTTTCTGTTTGTTTTTATAAAGATTTTTATGCGACCTAGTTTGAAAAATGTCGCGTTTTGAAATAAACACCTCTATATTAAATAATATTGTGAAATACGTAAAGTTTCGAAATTTAAATATAATCGCCATTTCCTAAATTTGACCATTTTTTTGTCAAAAATAATTCTCTAATTTAAAAATATATCATGCACAATACATATGTGTATTCATTATATATCAAATATATTAAATTTTTTAAATATTGTCGCATTAATTTTTCAAATCTTATAAATTTTCAAAAATTTAAGTTATAGATTATTATTCTTCTAACTAATGTTAATTTATATATCATGGCACTTAAACTAATATCTTTAAATTTCTAACTCAAAATTCTCTTAATTAATGTAATTTCTATCTATTACATAGAATTCACACCACAAACATACATACATACATACACACATATATATATATATATATATATATATATATAATACATATACATTTTTATCTAAAACAATCATTTTTCACCGTAATCTTATTATTATATTATCTTTCATATTATATTCAAGGCATGAGTGATTATTTAAATATTTACTAATATTTCTATAAAAAGACTAAAAAGATGTGTTACATTTATTTAATATAATTTTGTAAGCATTTTATTTTTTTGCACTGCTGTAATATCGCAATCAATCAATTAATTGTTATTGTTATAACCTAATTATATAATTATTGAATTATTATGCGGCGAATTATCAAACACATAATTTTTTCTAAAAAAAAACTTAAAGAAACGAGTTGTAAAATAGTTTAAAATAACACATCACACTTATAAGACTAATACATGAACAGGAAACATTTGTTTCAAACGCAATAATAATTAATATGCGGTACATATAAGTATGACAGATTTATGATTGTAAAACATTAATTCAGCTTCGACTGGAACATTCTTAAATATACATAGAGAGAAATCAAAATCAATTTTTATTGACACAGCGCAATAAATGCGCAACAAATATAGGAATGATAGAACATGAGAGAAAAAATAAATGAAAGAAAATGCAATATACCACAGCGAAAGAAACACTTATAAAACCCTATTATGCACTTAACACTTCAGCAAACAATAAAAAAATAAGAAATATTGGTAATATTATCTTGCAATCAAATTTACTTCTAATAATATATGTTATATGTTTATATTTAACTAATTACAAAAATATATATATTATTTTATTTACAAATATACACAAACATAAATACACATAATGATATGTACGGGATGAAAAAGAGGAATTGTCCTCATGTCAAATAGACAATAAGGAATATTTTACACAGAGGAATATTTTACATTAAACAGAGCAGCCTTAATTATACCAGATACCTCGGATTTTGCTTGTTTGATGGTTTTACATTTACCTGTCATTTGATCAGACATTTTTACTGCTGCCCAACCTAAACTCCTTTCCACTGCCATTTTCCATTTTTTATATCTCGCATCCCTCTCTACAAAAAAACAAGAAGTTTATAACATAAAAAAAATTACATTGTAATCATACAATGCACATTTGTAGAAAAATAAATAAAGATTTTTAAAGCACACCATTCGAAAATATATATACCTTCCGGTGTGGTGGTTGGCAAAAAAGTATCAGTTGGTACTGTTTCTATCTCTTCGCCTTCCAAGTCCCAAACATCTATTCCCTCAGCGTGTCCGGCAGCCCTCGCTACGCCTAGTGCAGTGATATCAGGCATAGTTGACCTAACTGCACATTTGCCGAAATAGAAGTACATTTAGTAATGCCCAGAAAATAAAAATAAAAATGAAGCATTGTTATACTAGACATATTTTATCTCACTTATAAATCTTGCCAAATAATTTGATTATGATCATTGTACGCACACACTGGTGTACCGCATAAGTCGGCTTGCAATTGCATAAGAAGATTATTAGTTGACATTTTCCCGTCTGTGTTTAACTTCGTTAATGGAAATCCGCAATCTTTATACATTGCCTCGAGAATATCTCTAGTTTGAAAGCATACCGCTTCGAGGGACGCCCTAATTATGTGTTGTTTCGTGGTAAATGCGGTAAGTCCACAAATTATTCTGGAAGAAAAGGATTACATCTTTTTTAATTCATTAACTTATTTGAGATTAAACTTTGAGTAAAAAGAAATATTTTGAATATATCGTATATAACTTGTACTATTTTTAAATATTACATATTTTTTATATTGTTTATGTTTATATAACAAGAAAAAAGACTCGGGAGAAATAATTCAAGCGATTACAAAGTTTCACCAACCCTCTTGCATCTTTTCGCCAATAAGGTGCATATAATCCGGTGAAAGCGGGCACGAAATAAACGTCTCCCGTGCTAAATACACTTTGAGCCAAATGTTCACTTTCATGAACGTCTTTTATGAGCTTCATATTGTCTCGCAGCCATTTAATAGCCGCACCGGCGACTGCAATTGAACCTTCCAATGCGTAAACAGGTGGGCTTTTTGGGCCAAACTGATACGCGACAGTCGTAACCAATCCATGAGAAGAGTATACTCTCTGAAAGAAGGAAATATAATAAGAAAATTAATGTAAAATATTGAGAAGAGTAATATAAATAAGATAAAAGAAATATAAATTTTCTAAGTTTTTACATGTTTCTAAATACTTTGGAATTACATACGGTATGTCCCGTGTTGCATAACAGAAAACAACCGCTTCTATATGTGTTTTTCGCTTGACCTTTCTTCAAACAATTTTGGCCGACTAAAGCAGATTGTTGGTTTCCTAAAATCTAACAGAAAAAGAAAATATATAATGGATGGCATTTTATTGTTGGCTTATCATTATTATTATCGCCAAGTTTTACGTACACCAGATATGGGAATGCCAGACAGAGGACCGATCATGATCTTGCCATATATTTCAGAACTGCTTTTGATCTCCGGCAGCATTTGCATAGGAATGTCGAAATATCTGCATAACGTAGGATCCCAAGAGAGCGTTTCAATATTCATTAACATTGTTCTCGATGCATTCGTAACGTCAGTGATGTACAGGCCACCGTCTTTGCCTCCCGTTAAATTCTGCAATGATATTTTTATTAGTGTCTCATTGTTCGCATACCTGCACAATTTTTCTCGCTAAAAAGAATCATTTTTAATTTCTTTATCAGAATCATTTAGTTTCTTTATTCAGATACAAAAAATTCATATAAAAAATAAATTAACGAAGTTACTAAGCACTAAGCACTAATTCTTTGAGCAATCTTGAATGTTAAATAACAATTCTTGTAAGGCGCAATAATGTTCATTAATACGCTCAATTACTATGCTGGCGATAATTTCTTTCATGCTCAAGATATGGCAAACATAAATATTAGCAGGTGTTAATCAATATACTAATTGGGTAACCAATCAAGTCATACTCGCTAATTCATGTTGTAATAGCCTCATATCACGTACCCACACAACCCATGTATCCATGGTCCCCACTTTGCATCGCTTTTCACGAATTGCCTTCCTCACAGCTGGCACGTTGTTCTTCAACCAACGAATCTTCAAAGCCGAAAAATATGGACTCACGGGCAAACCGCACAGAGGCTTCAGATGATTCTTGCTTTGATCCGGAAACTTCGCTATGATCTGATCCACCATTGCGTCAGTTCTGATATCGGACCATACTGAAATTAATTACATTTCAAAAACACGATCACACAATTAATCCAACAACTTTAACTTTACTTTCCTTTTTTCTTTCATCTCGAGGCTTATTTTTTTCAAAGATCTTTCGAAATATTCAAGTAAAGGCATGAAAGACCTTATGCATCTAATAAACTAAACTTTTCAGGCTTTTCTTCGAACAAAAATATCTCTTCTCATAAAAAGATTATCATCAACATCAAACTCTACCCACCTATGGCATTATAAAGAGGATCGCCAGTAATCGCGTCCCACACTAACGTAGTTTCTCTCTGATTGGTAATACCCACTGTTACGATTTCGTCAATCTTCATACCCAGCACGTCCAATTTGCGAACTACATCTTTAATGCAGGCTTTCACTGCAAAAAGGATTTCTTTGGGATCCTGTTCCATCCATCCCTCTTGCGGACTGATCTGTTCTATGTCGATTTGATGAGAAGTTATTTCCGCGACATGCTTCGCATTAAATACCTGCGGACGAAATTCATATTTTAAGTAATAACTGTTTAAATAACTAAATAAATGATAACTGAATAAAATTAAGTCCCGCACGAGTATTCGTCAAAAGGAAAAGTCGGTCTCTTAATTCATATATCCATATAAAAATTTTATATAAAAATCACAAACATGAAATTTTTATTTTAGAGAATATTAATACTTTAATTTTTCTAACAATTACACACAGACGCAGTCTAAATTTATACGTAAAATATTTTTATTTATATTTTTATTTTATCTATATTATAATACATATTAATTACTTAGAAAGTTTATTCGGAAAATTGATGTTTTATGCTCCGGAGTTTTCCGGATGTAATCTCGCGAAAATCCATTTGATGAAAAAGGCCATGACATTATTTGTTATTTGTAGTCAAGCAATTTACATTTACTGCCATGTATAAACCGTAGATCCGTTGTTGATCAGTAAAATCTAAACTGCAATTAATTATACTCATCATCATCTTTTTCTTCCCGGCTGATTACCTATCACGCTGGCAATCGTAGATTTATCTCGACAAGTTTGGGTAAACGTTTAGACACATAGAAAATTATAACGGGAGAGACAATGAGCAGCACTATTTTACAATAATCTTACCACAAAGCGAACAGTCCGCGTGCCAACGTCAACTACGCCGACGAGGGGTCCCGTTTTCTTCGCCGTACTCGGCATTGCATCTAGAAAAAGAAAAAAAGAATTTTTTAATACACAGATAATAAAAAGTGTATACAATAACAAAGTGTTTTTACGCAGTAAAAGTCGACACTAATAGGGAAGCTTGATACGGTAAGTCGTAGAGTGATGGTAATAAACGCTAATTGTCATTCCAATCAAGATTAAGGTGATGCAAAATATCATTAAGATTAAATGATAAAGAATAAAAGATATTTAAAAAAATTTTGTTTATAAATAGAACTTAATAAAATCTAATATTACTAAATTACCATATTATCAAATTATCCTTTGTTTTTTTATACACATTCCTTCGAACATAATAAGTAAAAATTATTTAAATAAAAAGTAGAAATGTTCCTTAATAGAAAGAATTATAATTAAGAAAAATGACAAAACTCTCAATTCTTTATATAAATATTTTAAGTATTCAAGATTATTTATGTAATTATTCATTGCGATGCAGAGATCTGTAATTAGCTGTAAATAAAAATTAAATTTTTTATTCAAACAAAACGAGAAATGATACAAATAAAATTAAATTTTTATTTACAAAACAACTAATTTCTACCTTAAAATAAACATATATTTACATAAATAATTTTGAATACTTAAAATACTTATTAAAAAAATTAAAGTCATTATTTCTTAATTATATTTCCATTTGAGCACAATTTTATTTGTTTATTTAAATAATTTTTCCAGGTCCTAAATCTAGTAAACTATTATATACTATTAGCTAGTAAACTATTTAATATTATTTTTAAACGCGGTTTAGAATAATCTGTAAATTTTTCATAATTTTTTCATTGTACATGTAAAAAAGCAGATGTAATATATTTTTAAAGAGACGTTCTTTTTAATCCGGAAATTTTTCAGATATCCGCGCAACATTTATTGATTCCTATATATGTTGAAACATAGTCTGTATGCTTATAATCTATATTATAAGCTAATCAAGAAGCAAAATTCCTATTCGTTGCAACATATTAAAACGTGTTCTCTGATCATACTTGTGCTGTAGAAAAAGTTAAAACTAGTTTCACCTTCAAGAAACTAATTTTTTCGACGAGAATATAATATATAATGTATATATAATGTATATATAATGTAGGTTCACGGTATTTCAACTTTCGTGTTCGAAGCTATGTAAAAATAAAAAGCTATGTTTAATTTAATTCGAGTCGATTCTCTTAATTTCCTTAAATGACGATATAATTCTGTCATTTGTATTATTGAATATTTCGATCTGCAGTTATTTTAAACTCAGCACATATTAATAATTACCTAAAGGAAAATAGGAAATGAATGCTTGCGCCATCCATTGTACAAAATAGTTCTGGAATATTCAAAACATTAGAATGTTAACGTAAATATTCTGTATAATAATAATACTAATCGAAAACACAGCAATGTGGATAATAAACAAATTTTGTCTTTTATACATTTCATAAATCCATATCAACAAATGATTAATCGCGCGTTTTTTAACGTTTTTATCGATTGGGTCTTCGAAGACGTATATTATTATCAATCTGCGTTTTTCTGATTCGTAATCAATGAAAGATACGCGGGAATTAATTGCATGACCTTCGATCATGATTGTTTGACGCAATGTCCGTCGTAAGGTATCGCGTTACTATTTGACAATTCTGCTGTTCAAGATCGTATCATTTAAAAGTTGGACGTATAACAATAAAAAAAATTATCAAAATTTAAAAAAGAAACATGTTTGTATATATTATTTGAAATATCAATAGATTTGATAAAACAATTATAAAACAATTAAAGTATAAACAAATTATATTTATACATAATATTTAATATTTTCTTGAAAAAAAAAATATTTTTAATTAAATTCTAATTTTTTACTCTTGTGTTAATTTTTAATATTCAACATATACATTCTTACACGGAAAAAAAATTTATTAGTTATCTTAAATCAAGACTAAATTGATTAATAAATATTCTTATATACAAGCAAGAATAATATCTTTTTAGAAAAATTTTAGTTTTGATTTGATTGAATCTTTATATTGATGTAGATATTCTCATTTATAAGCAAGAATATTATAATCTAAAAGAGTTTTGAGTTTCACTTGAACAAAAATAATGCTTGCATCAATACAAATTTAATCAAGACTAAAATTTTTAAGAAGATTATAATGTTCCTACTTATATATATAAAAATATTTATCTTCATTTAAGGCTAATTGTTTTCTGTGTAAAATTATAGCAAATTTTTCAAATCTCCTGCTGCACTTATTTCATCACAAACAGTAGACAATTTGGAGCTGAAAGTTACCGCACGGGATGTTAACGGCTGCAAGATAAATTATGCAATAAAATATACGTGATTTACAACATTATAATCTCTCGGCATTTCAAAATCCGACAAAACGGATCTTCGGTCGGAGATGACCCGTAATATCGTATATCGCCGGTTGTATATCGTCGATACACACGGCCAGGGGGGAAAAAACAAAGTAAACATTTTGATACGTTTAATCGCGGGTACACGCCTTCGGTGACACGTAAGCGATTAACGCCGCCTCTTGTGATTCCTTGCCAGCTATGAGAGAGATCCATCTCTTCGCGAGAGCTAGACAATCAAATCTCGTGATACGGCACGCGAGCGTATACGTTGCGAATTTCCTCGATTATTCTTACGCAATGATACTTGCGCTAATGCTTCCACGCGAATTCGACGAAAACACGTATTTACACGAGAACAACTTTTCAAGTTTTTCCCGTGCAATAATGCTCATTAAGACGTTTTTGCGCTATCTTGATGAAGCTTAACACATGTGGTTGCTCCAAATTGTTGACCAAAGAATCGGAGTTATCCACGTTATCAATAGATCAAATTTAATCTAGACTTAACTAACTTTAAGATTAGAATAATAAATGGCATTAGTGGATAGATAGGATTTTAGGCATCTAATGTAGTTTTTTAGTTTTTTTTTTTTTTTTTTTTTTTTTTTTTTTTTTTTTTTTTTTTTTAAATTTATATCTTCACATTTATATCTTCATTTAAAATTATTATAAATTTAAAATAATTGTTTAAATTACTATATATTATTATTTTTATCGGACTTGCAACGTAGCAGTTCAAAGTTAAAGCCGAATTATTTTATTTTTAATAACTTTTTTTAGTTATAAAAATTGGAATAGAATAAAAAATAAATTAAATCAAAATTAATAGACATTGAAATAGATATTACAAATGGATATTAGACAAGTTGAAAGATATTTGAATTATTAGAATGTGCGCGAATTTAAATAATTCATTTGTATGCATCAGCGTGATTCTTCGATAATTTGTTATTCTTTTCTAATGCTAAAAATGTAACATTAATTATATTCCATAACGTATAATAATGACTTGTACGTGTATTATTGTATTGTATTTTTAACGCAAGACGAGTGTATTGAGATACGAAAAACATTGGCACTCGGGTTTTCATATTGGCAATTGCACGAAACTTCAGAGAGTTATGTGGATATCCTTTTCGAGTTATTCTTCAAAGTTGGATATTGTCGAGAAATATTAATAAAAAAAATTGTCTTTTTCTTTTTTTTTAAATGGGTTTAAGATTTTAGAATAAAAAAATACAGCACAATAAAACACAAGCTCACCAATTTTCTATCGATCTGATAAAAATACATACGCACGGGAATTATAAATATGGTAATTGTTATAAGAAATTATAACGCATGAAGTTGCATAGCGCTTCATATTTAAGTATTAATGCATCGTAGCTACTTTATTATTATTTTATCATAAAACCTAGGAGAAATTAACATATATTATTAAATATGCATATTATCAATCATTAGAATTCTTCTTTCTTATAATTTCTTATAATTATATAATCATATAATTTTTCGAATAGTATATATCATTAATCTCAAATTATGAATAATTTGAAATTATTGATATATATTATTCTAAATTATAAATTAATATATATATATATATATATATAATTATTATAAGAAATTATAATAAGTTGTAATCAATGGTTAACGATGTGCAAATATTTAAACCCTCGAAAATCACGCAACTTCACACGTTAAGAAATTAATGATCCCATGCGTATAAGTGCAATGATGTTATGAAATTCTCCTTGCCTTTGGAACCAGGCATCTTTATCGAGTTAATATATCAAAGTTCAAAGATTCCTTCGGCTATGTTTACGTAATGAGAGGGTACTGACGCCGTCACTGTATTCAATGACAAAAGTGCCATAATGTGTGCTAATAAATAAGAATACAAGTGAATGACGTGCGTATTGTTGCGTACTAAACCGCATTAAAATTTTTTCTCTTTTATCAAACTTCAAATATCTATTTCATTTATACAACCAGTGTATTTCAGCTACAAAGAATTAAAAAATACAGAATTACTCGGTAAAAAATGTTCCATATATTTATAATTACATATAATTATCTAATTATATTAATACATATTTATATTTATATGTATAATCAAATCTCATATATATATATATATATATATATATATATATATATATAATACTACTACAC